TATTCTTTTTCTTTTCCATTCTGTCTCAGCTTAACGTCACACACAGAGCCGTTGCCAAGGCAACTGTCAAACAACATCTCAAAGATTAAGTTCAAGTGTATTAGGAATTAACATAAAAAAACAGACTGAATGTTTTCTTTTGGTATTTCTTGGTGTGGTAATTTTTTTAGTCTGTTACAGATTTCTGTGCGACCATTAAAAAGTAATTGCCTAAACACTTGTGGTGGTTGATTAGCTAATTTAAACACCTGCTCTACTGATAATCTGTCACAAAGTAGATGTGTGGGTCGCCTTATTTTTGTGCTAACTGAACTGAAACACACTGAACTATGCAGCTTGGGTATGCTAAGTTTGTCAAAGTTAAGCTACAGCAACTAACCTACTCCCACTTTCTTTAATTAAAATGTTTTACTGACATGTGAAAAGTGATTCCCTTGGACTTTATCTTGCTGTTGTAAAGTTTTCAATTAATAGCAAAACACTGTGTCCTTTTTTCAGATTTTTGCTTGACTGTGTCATTTCCCCGACCACCGATATTCTGGGCTCAACGCAAACCAATAGCGCATGTGGAGCACTGCAAGTCTTGTGATGTCCTATCAACTAGCTCACTGAACGGACTCGCCATTTACGTTTTACAAAGAAATTTTAAAAAGCAGTCGTCCACTGGCTGTTAATATTTGTACACAGCGCGCAGCTGCTGCTGAGTTAATGTCCACAAATATATGCAGGCACAGAAAAATGTGTAGGAAATGTTGGTGGGGACCAGGCCTTCAGGAAGTTACGCCTATGTTCTCATATCTTAGCTCCGACTTCCAAGATAAATGGAACACACCAGAACGTTTAGCTTTGAGAGGATAGAATGATTGCAGTGACAGATGTGGGAAGAACTGCTTGGTGAGAACCACATAACATTTGAGACCTTGTGGTGGCTTTCCCTTTTCAGAAATGGTTAAAGGCCCATAGTCCACATATTTGTAGTATCATACTAATCTTATGAATGCTTAGTGAGTCTGGGAGACACAGGAAGCAGTCCTGAAATTAGCAGTTTTTCCAGAAGCCAAACTGTAGTTGGATCACACCAGGCCATTGACCAGGCCTTTCTCACAATCCTCAGCCAGAAGCTTCCAATGCTGCCGGTTTTTCTGACACCCTTCCAGCAGAGGGCAGCAGTGCTCTGATAAGCCAGCCAAGGTCTGTGAAAACAACAATGACAGAAAATGATAGGGTGGCTTTTGTCTGAAAGTCATTTGGATCACTAGATGGAAAAGACAGAGACAGTTGGGTCCAAATTACCTCATATAGCTGAACACAAATGGCATCAATGAAGGAAACCTGCATGCTGGGTATCTTATCTCTTTTCTCACGATTCATAAGATCCTGAAGTAAAAGGCATAAAATGATTCCAAGCATAAGTTGTAGTTTCTTGATTTGGCAGTTTAAGTTATATGACAGAATAAATTCCAATATGTTAGTTAGGATTTGTCTTCTTACAATAGGCTCAATGTTCAGTTCCCGACGCTCTTTGTCCCCCTGTTCAAAGAATTCAGTGGCCACAAGTTCTGCGATCTGCAAAAACTCAACGTCAGCATTTGACTGCACACACATACAAGCCAAAACAGAAATTAATACAACTGTATTTTTAAGCTTATTCCAGTGTTTGAAGCTGGAAACCCCTAATGCTGCTGTACTGACAATCCGTCACATCTGGTATTTTAATGAAGCTCCCATGAGACATGGCATTCTAAATGAAAGATATTACTTAATGCTGTCAAACTCTAAAAGAGCAAAACGTGAAATACAAAGGCTAATAACAGAAATAATAAACCTGCCAACAGAGTCCTGCTATGTAAAAGGTTTGTGCTTACAGAGATCAGCCTGAGGTTCCAATCAGCATTACTCTGTGGAAGTGAATACTGACGCCACCTGCAGGGCTCCATTGGTTGGTAATCAAGCCTCAGAGCAGCAGAGCTGAGTAATATCTTATTATAGCTCAGAAAAAACAACATCCAGGAAGTCTTTATTTACTTGCGTCAGTGAAAGCAACACCTTTCCATGTCTGCATCAAAACAATGAGATTTACAGATAGATTTAGGAGTCATTCAAGTCTGGAGAACGTCCCACATTGATCAATGACCAAGTCTAATTTACATGTTCCCTTAGATATTATATTAGTGTTTATATTTTGTTCTCTTTCGTCTATTGTATTTCATTCCTGTATGTTTTTTTTAAGTTACTGGGGAAAAATAGAGAAAATGTGAGAATAGGAAATGGAACTTCGGTGTAAACTGTCTTCACCCACTTCACAATAAGATAATTAATATAAAGTAGAGATGTGCCGATCAAGTTTTTTCCTGCCAATTCTGATTCCAATCACCCATGAGAGCCGATCACCGATACCGATCACATAATTATTATTTTTTTAATTATAAACACTACCGGTTACATTATGTGGAGAAATGAACCATGAATTCACCTTAATTTAGACAAAATTTGTTTTTCAATAACTATTTCCAAGAAAAAAACAAAACAGGCATTGTGCAAATTGTACTGCTATCAATAATACTATCTTTAACAGACTGAAAACATATGAAGGCTCTGAAGAGGCTAATAATGCAAAAAGTCAAAGTAAAACCTCTCAACATTGCCAAAGAATTAAAGTATAAAACATTCAAAGGCAAAAACAGGTTCCATTACAATAAACAATCCAGAGTTACTGAATGAAAACTTCCTGTTAGCATGGCGGCTAGCTGATTACTGCTAGTTCTGATTGGCTGTTTCTGACTGAGCGGAGTAATTATGCAGGACAGGGAGGAGATCGATTATTTTTTTAGAGATTATCTGTCTCATGTTAGGACAGCGAAAGTTTTAATACGTGTGTAAAATTTATGTTTTAAGTTAGATGTTGCAGCTTTAAGCAGGTTCGGTGTGAGAGTCACTACCAGGTGGCGTTCCTGTTGAACCGCTGCGTTCAACAGGAACCAGCGTCTGACATCGCAGCTCGAAGACTTGAATAATTTTCCAGGTTAT